CTATGATTGCACATATACATATACTTCAGTAGGGATTTGTTGACATGGTGTTTCCAGGGTTACATGCTCACAGTAATGTCTTTGTGTTGAGGAAAGAAACAACATCAAAACCCTCCAAATTCAAGGTACAAAAAATATACCTGATACACAGTTATATATGGTAATTACCGTATTCGATGTAATAAGCGCCCCGCTCTAATAAGCGCCCACGACGATATTTGCTAATATATTGGCTTGTGAACAATCCAAATTAGCACCCCTTCCTATTGATCAATGTACACAAGACTTATTTATTCACGTATAATACGCACTCGTGTTATATGCAATCTTAATTATGGGCAATTAAATTCTGGAACAATACATCTGTCGTACATGCACATTTCAGGCTGTCAGCATAAACCACGAAATGTATCTTTCAACTCTGTTTTTCTCTCTCACCAAAATAATATTCTAATAAGAGCCCCCTATTTTTAATTTTGAGAGCGCCCTGGGCGCTTATTACGTCGAATACGGTAAGTTCAGTGTTTACATATCTAGTGGAGTATGATATTATCGTGCACCAGTTCCATCGTCACGCCTGAGGTGATTTTGGGTTTGAATTGGACCCCTGCAACATTGATCATATAATCACCGGATTAGAGGTCCAGACTTGAATAATAACAGCCTGCATACGTAATTAATAACCAATCAAAATCTCAATGTTTTTAAAAATGATTTTCATTGAGAAGACAAGACTTGATATTGATAACTTGATAACCGGCCTCAACAACAATACACAATTGGAAGTGAAATTGACCAGCTCAAACAAAACAAAAGTGAAAACCTCCGAATTTACCTATCATACATTTGACAAACAATGCCTTGTCATAGAAACCCACACAGGGTGTTCATGGTCTCAGAGCAAAGCTGGAGATGAAAATGTCACTTGACATTATTTGCTCAGGAACCCCAACAATTTCCTTCTCCTCTCACACAAAAGCATGTGGCGCTAATGAAATCCATGAGACAACCTTGTCAATATCACCTAGCTGTCATCAGTGATGAGGAATGTGTGAGACAATACCCTATATTGACAAGTGTCTATGTGGACCTCACATAATGGAAGATAAAACAGCATGGATTCCACTGCTTCAGGGCAAATATAATGAGGCAAACACATTGATGGTGTCCTGGAGGTGTTGGAGATTAACATCAAGGCAAATATGTTAAGTGAATGAAAGAATGCAGCTTTCTTGATGGCTAGCATTATCACTGCTATTTGAAGTATTTCACTGTAACTGCAATGTGTAATCAGCATTGAATAGCAAACCAGTGGTTGATAATGCGAGCATCATCACTGCTTTTTGAAGTATTTCACTGTAACTGCAATGTGTAATCAGCATTGAATAGCAAACCAGTGGTTGATAATGCGAGCATCATCACTGCTTTTTGAAGTATCTCACTGTAACTGCAATGTGTAATCAGCATTGAATAGCAAACCAGTAGTTGATAATGCGAGCATCATCACTGCTATTTGAAGTATCTCACTGTAACTGCAATGTGTAATCAGCATTGAATAGCAAACCAGTGGTTGATAATGCGAGTATCATCACTGCTATTTGAAGTATCTCACTGTAACTGCAATGTGTAATCAGCATTGAATAGCAAACCAGTGGTTGATAATGCGAGCATCATCACTGCTTTTTGAAGTATCTCACTGTAACTGCAATGTGTAATCAGCATTGAATAGCAAACCAGTAGTTGATAATGCGAGCATCATCACTGCTATTTGAAGTATCTCACTGTAACTGCAATGTGTAATCAGCATTGAATAGCAAACCAGTGGTTGATAATGCGAGTATCATCACTGCTATTTGAAGTATTTCACTGTAACTGCAACATGTAATCAGCTAGAATAGCAAACCAGTGGTTGATAATGCGAGCATCATCACTGCTATTTGAAGTATTTCACTGTAACTGCAACGTGTAATCAGCATTGAATAGCAAACCAGTGGTTGATAATGCAAGCATCATCACTGCTATTTCACTGTAACTGCAACGTGTTATCAGCATTGAATAGCAAACCAGTGGTTGATAATGCGAGCATCATCACTGCTATTTGAAGTATTTCACTGTAACTGCAACGTGTAATCAGCATTGAATAGCAAACCAGTGGTTTATAATGCGAGCATCATCACTGCTATTTCACTGTAACTGCAACATGTAATCAGTGTTGAATAGCAAACCAGTGGTTGATAATGCGAGCATCATCACTGCTTATCACTGTAACTGCCAAGTCTAATCAGTCTTCAACCAGGTCATGTGAGCATCAATTCACAATAATGTGATTTAAAAACATACAATTTCTACCCTGTTCTGCATCAGGGTGGTAACAATGACCCCTTGATTTACATGCTCAATTTCGCACAGGGCATAATCATCCATCTTTATTTACATGTAAATAAATTGATATGATCAGTTACTTTCACTCTTCAGTATATAATTCAGAGCTATTTCTTTTACTCCACCCCTTAATCACATCCTCTGTACCATTATCAAGCTCAACAATCTTCTTCGCTTCACCGACTTTAATACTTTACCCATGAGACCGCTCACCCTGTCTAGCCACACGGTCATTAAGTCATTACCGACATACCCACTTTCTAAAAGCCAAACGCTATGACTCAACAGTCTAATCAACCACAAAGATTTCATAACATTGAACCCAACATAATCCAAAGATGAATTCTCCAGATTACATACACTTCTTAATGTAGAAACCAGTTCTGATATTGAAATTCTATTTTATTAAAAGATTACATCTCCACTACAGTTCCCACTTATCTCTGTCTAATTTACATTCCCAAGCTCGCTAGAAGCTTGATGCCAGTGATAGAGTCAAAGTGATGTTTGATGGCAGTGATACGATCCTGTGGGATGTAATACTAATCCTGATGTGGGAAAAGAGAGATGCAATCATCATGACCAGACAATGGCTTCAGTTAGTCAAGGTACAGAGTGAGTGAGTGAGTGAGTGAGTGAGTGAGTGAGTGAGTGAGTGAGTGAGTGAGTGAGTGAGTGAGTGAGTGAGTGAGTGAGTGAGTGAGTGAGTGAGTGAGTGAGTGAGTGAGTGAGCATGGTTTTACACCGCTATTAGAAATATTCCAGCAATATCACGGCGGGGGACACCAGAAATGGGCTTCACACATTGTACCCATGTCGGGAATCAAACCCGGGTCTTCGGCATGAAACAATATATCACGTGACTAACCACGGGTCTGGGTAGTCCTGTGGGTATCCGGGTAGTCCTGTGGGTATCCGATAGTACTCAGTACCAACCCGACCCGAGTACCCGAGTTACCCGTCCCAGCCCTAATCCTTACCTGGAATCTCCACGGATGTCTTGTTAGTGCAGTTTTTAAATAATTATTGAATATGATGACATAACCCAATATGTCCCCATCAAGGGTGAAAACACATTCTAGGCTTACTTGCTTACAAGTCATGATTCAACATTCTAATGTAAATCAACTTTATGGACATTAAACAATGTGAGCATGCATATTTATTCATTAATATGCAACTAGGCCATTTTATATTGCAGTACATGATGAGAATCAGATTAATAAACACGGCTTATGTCATCAACACTTTCATTGCTTGTAGCTTTGATTATGCAGATAATCCCAACTGTAAACATGGTAATCACATGGTGTAGAGGAGGATGGAGGGGGATGGAGGAGGATAGAGGGGGATAGAGGATGATAGAGGGGTATAGATGATAGACAGGATTAGAGAAGGGATAGAGAAAGATAGAGGGGGATGGAGGGAAATAGAGGCAGATGGAGGATAGAGGGGGATTGAGGGGGATGGAGGAGGATAGAGGGGGATAAGGGATGATAGTGGGGTATAGATGAGGATAGACAGGATTAAAGAAGGGATAGAGAAAGATAGAGGGGGATGGAGGGGGATGGAGGAGGATAGAGGGGGATGGAGGAGGATAGAGGGGGATGGAGGGAAATAGAGGCAGATGGAAGATAGAGGGGATTGAGGGGGACGGAGGAGGATAGAGGGGGATAGAGAAAGATAGAGGGGGAAGGAGGAGGATAGAGGGGGATGGAGGAGGATAGAGGGGGATGGAAGAGGATAGAGGGGGATTGAGGAAAATAGAGGGGGATGAATGATGATAGAGGGGGATGGAGGATGATAGAGGGGCATGGAGGAGGATAGAGGGGGATGGAGGATGATAGAGGGGCATGGAGGAGGATAGAGGGGGATGGAGGATGATAGAGGGGCATGGAGGAGGATAGAGGGGGGTGGATGAGGATAGACAGGATTAGAGAAGGGATAGAGAAAGATAGAGGGGGATGGAGGGAAATAGAAGCAGATGGAGGGGGATGGAGGGGGATAGAGGATGATAGAGGGGGATAGATGAGGATAGACAGGATTAGAGAAGGGATAGAGAAAGATAGAGGGGGATGGAGGATGATAGAGGGGGATAGATGGATAGAGGACAGAGCGAACAGAGGGAACAGAGGCAACATAGCTTAGAATAAGACAGTTTTGCTAGTCTGAGCCTTGGACACATATTTCCTAACAAGGAAATGGCCTCCACAGTCTCATTAGCATTTTATTGCACAACAAATACTACACTTTTGGAAGACTACTTTGCATATTCTTCATGTGTAACCAGTGTTAGAAATGAACGGGGGTCTTTAGATCCTTGATGTTTGCTGCACGAGAACTTGAACCAGGTACTTTTAACAAAAGGGTTTTGTGAGGACTCCTTCATGTTGAACCTTACCATGGAAACCTTATGGAGTAAGTGGGTGCGGCATGGGGGTTACAAGAATCTGAACATTAGAATAGCTGAATAAACAACATACGTGATCTATTAATTTTAAATAAAAGAATGAAGTAATAACTCAAGACCTCACAGAACACGACAAACACAACCCAATCTCCTGGCAAACATGAGGAAATCTACCCCCCCGTCCGACGAAACCCTCCCCATAGCCTACCTGGGAATTCCTCTTGACTCTCACACCTGAGCACACCTGTTGACAAATTTCTTCTCCTCCCTTCTTTCTCTTCTTCATCGGTATCCATGTTATTGTTCAGATCATCCTTCCCCTCTCCTGGCTTCATCTTGCCCGGATCATTTACCGGCTCCATTTCTAAAAGGAAAATTTCATATGGTACAAACACACTGACAGATCACACCAGATCATAGCCAACAATCCCACATGCCCCAAGTCTGGCCCAGCTCACTACCTCCACCCCCTTCATAAACAAAATGGATTGGTCTTCCAGGCAGACAGGCACGAACTACAATGAGTGGGAGGGGTTAGAGGTCACACCTATGTCCGTTTCACCTGAAGCCATCAAAGTAACCATAGCATGGTGACCTACAAGCTGTATCTACCCACACAAAGAGTCTCTGTGGAGGCGGCTCTCATTCATCCATATTTGTTTGTTTTGGACTTGGTCATAAAATCGAAGGGTTGGTGTTACGGTGTTTACCTTGCCCTGCTGTATAAATTTGAAGCTCTCCATGTGACATGGGTTTTGTATTATTAAAGGAGTGTTGGCATTGTTTATATGATGATGAATATCTCACTTACAGCTCAGGCCATCACAGCTCAGTTAATTAAGTGTCTGTCCCGATAATAAACTGATTCCACTGTATGTTCGCAAAAGTACCTTGACGGTTTTAGCCACTCAAATAATGAGGTACAAATCTGTACCATGTCCGATTATTGGTGCGCATCCTTTTTTACAAATGTAAATACATTTGGAGACATGTCTACACCTCAAAAAGTTTACTTTGGGCGATAACATTTTTAACGAACTGCCACGCTGATTTTAGTTCTGACAAGAGCAATACTTCTCTCACAACTTGCACGTAGTCGTCGTCTGCTTGTTTTCGTGTTACCAATGATCAATGAATGCAATGTTTAATGGCGTGCTATTGCAGGCTAGGTGAAACTGGCCACCGCCACTGCTTGTTTAGGCAGACGGGATCCCAGTCATTCCAGATAATAACAGCATATTGGCAAAATATCAAAAATATGAATTATCTTATCTCCCCACTCAATGGTCTGTTGTTAACAGCTAGACATTTAGCAAGTTTAGCCTCTGAAATTGAAATCTTTGAAGATGTTTTTCCCTTACATTGTCTTATGATATATGACAGAAAGGAATCTTAAGAAAACTGAAGCAATAGGCCAGCCAAGCTATTATTGTGATTATTGACGTGCATGGCATATTTTTAATTTATTTTTTTCAGTAGAACCAGTGTTCAAATTATGGATGAAAGAAAATGGCTCTTGTCATTAAAATACAGATAAAAATAAATGATACAGATCCTTGATTATATACTTCAACAGTCAATCTTAAATATGCACTCACTCACACACGCACACACGCATACACTCACACACGCACACACTCACACACGCACTCACACCAAGGAGCCACCTTTTCCCTGATGTTCATTGTTATTTGAAATTACAAAACTAAAAGGACTGATTAATATTTATTAAGCCAATATACTTTCTGGATATTTCCTGGTCAAATATTAATTGTCTATTCAGCTTTCTGATGTCTTTAGGCAACCACAAACAATATGTAACTTTCTTTGTTTGTTTGTTTGTTTGTTGTTTAACGCCACACTCATCAATATCCAGCTATATAATGGCGGTCTGTACCAGACAATCCAGTGATTGACATCATGAGCATCGATCCACGCAATTGGGATCGATGACATGTATCAACCAAGTCAGCGAGCCTGACCACCCGATCCCGTTAGTCGCCTCTTACAACAAGCATAGTCATCTTTTACGGCAAGTATGGGTTGCTGAAGAGCTATTCCACCCCGGATCTTCATGGGTCCAATATGCAACTTATAGTTTGGTTGCTAATGAAGTGCAACCCCTACTTTGCATGTTGGCTTAAAAAAACAAACAGCCATACTGTCCAGAATTTGGCACAGAAACTTTTAGTTCCTCATTCTACTGAGGTCAAGCGAGTGAGTTAGTGAGTTGGGTTTAACGCCGCTTTTAACAGTATTCCAGTTATATCACGGGCGTATCAGCTTAATGTGGGAGGAAAGCCTGAAGTGATGCAGGTCTCGGACGTTTACCACTTCGATGAAACCCACGAGCACGGGTATGGTGCTGACAAACCTAGAAACGGAGGTCAAGCAGATGGGACAATGATCGGGACATGGCTTAATGGCCATCAGACAAGGTCTGTGCTAATGCTGTGAATTTTTGGTAACTGCACAAATGGTTCTCGGAATATATTTCTCAGAGAGACAATGGAACACTGTGCAGCAGGTATCTGGAGCAAAATAAACTATGATGCTTAACACAACCCTTATTCTTTGATGTGTGCCACTGCTCATGACATCACTGGTTTGTGGGTACACCATAATTAAGTGTGCCACATATATGACATCACTGGTTTGTCTGTACACCATCATTAAGTGTGCCACATATATGACATCACTGGTTTGTGTGTTTATGTGGTCATGACATCATTGGTTTATGTGTACACCATCACAATGAGAGCATCTTATCATGACATCACTGCTGTGTGTGTACAACATCATTAAGTGTGCCACACATCACTGGTTTGTGTGTACACCATAGTTAAGTGTGCCACATGTATGACATCACTGGTTTGTGTGTACACCATCTTTAAATGTGCCACATGTATGACATCACTGGTTTGTGTGTACACCATCATTAAGTATGCCACACATCACTGGTTTGTGTGTACACCATCATGAAGTGTGCCACACATCACTGGTTTGTGTGTACACCATCATTAAGGATGCCACATATATGACATCACTGGTTTGTGTGGACACCATCATTTAGTGTGCCACATAAATGACATCACTGGTTTGTGTGTACACCATCATTAAGTGTGCCACATATATGACATCACTGGTTTGTGTGTACACCATCATTAAGTATGCCACACATCACTGGTTTGTGTGTACACCATCATGAAGTGTGCCACACATCACTGGTTTGTGTGTACACCATCATTAAGGATGCCACATATATGACATCACTGGTTTGTGTGTACACCATCATTAAGTGTGACACATATATGACATCACTGGTTTGTGTGTACACCATAATCAAGTGTGACACATAAATGTCATCACTGGTTTGTGTGGACACCATCATTTAGTGTGACACATATATGACATCACTGGTTTGTGTGTACACCATAATCAAGTGTGCCACATATATGACATCACTGGTTTGTTGATACACCCTCATTTAGTGTGCCACATAAATGACATCACTGGTTTGTGTGTTTATGTGGTCATGACATCATTGGTTTATGTGTACACCATCACAATGAGAGTATCTGATCATGGCATCACTGCTGTGTGTGTACACCATCATGAAGTGTGCCACATATCACTGGTTTGTGTGTACACCATCATTAAGTGTGCCACATATATGACATCACTGGTTTGTGTGTTTATGTGGTCATGACATCATTGGTTCATGTGTACACCATCATAATGCGTGCACTGATCATGACATCACTGATTTGTGTGTACATCAGTATGATGTGTGCCACTGGTCATGACATCACTGATTTGTGTGTCCATCATTATAATGTGTGCCACTGGACATGACATCACTGATTTGTGTGTCCATCATTATAATGTGCGCCACTGGACATGACATCACTGATTTGTGTGTCCATCATTATAATGTGGGCCACTGGACATGACATCACTGATTTGTGTGTCCATCATTATAATGTGGGTCACTGGTCATGACATCACTGATTTGTGTGTCCATCATTATAATGTGGGCCACTGGACATGACATCACTGATTTGTGTGTCCATCATTATAATGTGGGTCACTGGTCATGACATCACTGATTTGTGTGTCCATCATTATTATGTGGGCCACTGGACATGACATCACTGATTTGTGTGTCCATCATTATAATGTGGGTCACTGGTCATGACATCACTGATTTGTGTGTCCATCATTATAATGTGGGTCACTGGACATGACATCACTGATTTGTGTGTCCATCATTATAATGTGGGTCACTGGTCATGACATCACTGATTTGTGTGTCCATCATTATAATGCGTGCACTGATCATGACATCACTGATTTGTGTGTACATCAGTATGATGTGTGCCACTTGTCATGACATCACTGATTTGTGTGTCCATCATTATAATGTGGGCCACTGGACATGACATCACTGATTTGTGTGTACATCATTATAATGTGGGTCACTGGTCATGACATCACTGATTTGTGTGTCCATCATTATAATGTGGGCCACTGGACATGACATCACTGATTTGTGTGTCCATCATTATAATGTGGGTCACTGGTCATGACATCACTGATTTGTGTGTCTATCATTATAATGTGGGCCCCTGGTCATGACATCACTGATTTATGTGTCCATCATTATAATGTGTCCCACTGGTCATGACATCACTGATATGTGTGTCCATCATTATAATGTGGGTCACTGGTCATGACATCACTGATTTGTGTGTCCATCATTATAATGTGGGTCACTGGTCATGACATCACTGATTTGTGTGTCCATCGTTAAGATGTGTCCCACTGGTCATGACATCACTGATTTGTGTGTCCATCATTATAATGTGTTCCACTGATCATGACATCACTGATTTGTGTGTCCATCATTATAATGTGTCCCACTGGTCATGACATGACTGCTCATGAAAGAAAGATCCCCATCATGATCTAACTCAATGAATCCACTTTCAACTGAGGACATGCGGGGTTTTTCCTCTTCAATAATGTTTCCATTTCAAGGTTTAGAAGAACCACCCCAAACCCCACCCTCATGTACGAATTATCATTTCACAAAAACATGGCGACAGATCTTCCTTTATTCAACATCCCTGCATCATAGATTGATGCTCAAGATGTCAATCACTGGACTATCTGGCCCAGACTCAATTATTTTCAGACTGCCATCATACAATTGGAATATTGCTGATTGTGGCGTTAAACAACAAACAAACATGAATTGTGCATCAATAATTTTAACTATAATTACCTTGCAACCAGATACTTATTGGATTATTACATGATGACAATACTTCACATGAATAACAGCAAGTTGTGTCATCAACATATGTTTTCTCATTAACTTCAATAATCACCTTTGTAAACATTTCCCTCAACCCGAGACCGAGCAGAGTGCACATGACAGGATGGGGCACATGTTATGTTAATCACACATGTCATGTTCTGTCAACAAAACAAACGAAGCCCACAATTTTGAATCACGGCATGTACAGGATTGCCCCGAATAACCACAACAACTCACTGTGTCAGCAAGCGGGACCCAAATAACTCTTTCAAGAGATCAACATACTTTCTCAAAGTCCCTTTGTTCAAATAATACTTTGTGTTTTGAAATTGAAGATGAGGATTAGGGTTGAATGATATCACTTCTGGTTTGGGAAAAAACATGCAGTGAGGTTCAGAACAAAAAGTGCATGTTTGTGAGACGCATGTCGAAAGCAAGACAGCTTTACGTCAAAAGTCCCATGTATGTTTCGATCTAGCTACTAAATAAGAAAGTAATATGCCCTTCCACTTCCAGATTAATGACCTTGATCTCGTCTGTCTTACAGACCCTGATACAAATATATATCAAATACAGCCCATGCAAGTCTATAATGTTTGGCAAGTTTAGATTACTGCAGTATCTGAAAATGAAGAAAGTCATTGGGCTCCCTTTTATGATATTTTTATTAAGATAACTGAACAACTGTTTTTTTCTGTACGATATGTTCATTTCAGAGACTAGATGTTAGTCTAGCCTTGATCCTCAATTTCTGCAATAACATGCTTGATTATTTCTAGTTGAAAATATTAATGCAAACATCTTCAAAACATGTCATACAAATACAAGCCTAGGACCTAAAACTATCTGCATGTACATCATGAATGACCTTCACAGTAACCTTGACCTTTCACAAAGGTCACTCAAAACCTATTTTGATCTGAACTCTGCCTTTAGAATGTTTCATTGACCTACAGTAGAACACGGATATAATGAACACGGATATAGCGAACAAACGGATACAACGAACTGTTAAAAAATCCCTGATTGATCTCCTATATAATATCATATAAAATTTACGTATATAATGAACTCTCTACAGCGAGCTGATATCTGATCACCAACAAGCCCATCTATCACTAATCAGTGACGTGTATAGCGAACTGCAAAATCTCACTCAGTGTCAAGTGTCACTGACAACTGGCTGTATGCAATCAGCGGCGAATCAAAACAATGGCGGCGAATCAATACAATCAGCGGAAACGGATCAACCTTGTTAAGTATGCATTGTGTTAATCTTACCTGTACATGTAATATTGTCTGTAAAATTTTATGTCTGTCATTGGAAAATCTGTGTTTTGTCTTATCCAAGATGGCGGACGTTTCCGAGCGAAAACGTGTATAACGAACAACGGATATAATGAACTGATTTCTCTGGTCCCTTGCAGTTCGTTATATCCGTGTTCTACTGTACACTAAATCCTTTTGAGCTAAATGGTGAAAACAAACATTTTCAGGCTGTGGTTGGGAGGATGACCTTGACCATAATGGATAACAACAACTTGTTAATTGCATTTAGCAACGTTTACTTACCAACTAGAATACCAATCAAACAGTTAGTATGACAATAACAATAAACAAATATTCCGGGGCCATAAAAGAGATATACATGATATTCCTCAGATCTCCAAGAAAATCATGGTTTCTCACAAAATAGCAAATGCTATTCATTTAAAGTAGGTCACAATGATGTGTCATCACTTGTCAAATGTAAGAATTCAAACAATATAACGAGTATGTGCATAAGAACAAAGAATAAAGTCTTCAGAAAAGCCATTTTAGTGAAATTGGCAAACATACTTTACGAATGACCTCCACTGTGTCCTTAACCTTATACATTGGTCAGTCACAACCTTTTCATTGGACCTTAAGGATGACCTTGACCCATGACAGCATGTCAAAAATAATTTCTGAGGGCCATAATGGAGACATGCATGATATTGCTCGGATGTCGGTTGGTTGGTTGGTTTGTTGTTTAACGCTGCACTCAGCAATATTCCATCTATATGACGGTGGTCTGTAAATAATCGACTCTGGACCAGACAATCCAGTGACTGATATCATGAGCATCGATCCACGCAATTGGGATCGATGAAATGCATCAACCAAGTCAGCGAGCCTGACCACCCGATCCCGTTAGTCACCTTTTACAACAAGCACAGTCACCTTTTATGGCAAGCATGGATTGCTGAAGACCTATTCTACCACGGATCTTCACGGGTCTCAGATGTCAAAGCCCAACATGGTTTCTAAAACAAAGTGTGGCTGTGGAGGCAGTGGTCAAAGTTAGACAAACCCTAAAAGCATTCCTATTTACACTGAACTGGTTCAGTCTCGCTGACTTGGTTGATGCATGTCCCAACTGCATTGATCGATGCTCATGATTTCGATCACTGGATTGTCTGGTCCAGACTCAATTATTTTCAATCTAGTGTCAGAATAGCTGGAATATTGGTGAGAGTGGCATTTTACAACCAACGAAGAAACAAATTAACAGCTGATTATAAAGAACTATTAAATGCTGTAAACTCTATCTCTATTGTCTAACAGCAATTCTCAGAGCTAGCCACTGAGTTTCTTGTTCAAATAACAACTCTCATCAGGGATAGGAGTTTGGCTGGTCCAGACAACAGGCCACCAGTCAAGGAGCAATGGAATATTGCTGACTAAGGATAACTTTTTTCCAGGTGATACAAGGTTCCACTTTGTTTATAATATACTTTCTATATTCAGACTCTGTGATATGTCCACATAATACAACTGAGACAAAGTCCAGTTTCACATGCTTATAAAAGGTCATTACTTGAAGATTATTGTACCTATTTAAACAGGCAGGGTAACAACACGTACCATTCTTATTATAATGTCATTTGGTATGATACGGCAGATCTTGAGTCACCGACCTAAAACTACTCTCCATGCAGAAGCACTATCAACTAGACCGTGAAGGCAGTCCAATACATGTGAAAACCAGACAGCATGTCTGACTGTTCGCATCGCTCACTGAACCAGCCATGTCACCAAGTCATGTAGTAATTGGCAGTCTAATCAATAGCACTCGGTGAAATCAATGGTCACTAAACCATGTACATCTATCTGGCGGCAATCAATCTTGTCAATGTACCCCATGTTGATAACATAAACAAACAAAATTGATTATAGTCAGGACATTCTCATGTGTGTTGAGGGTAGTCCAGAGAATAGTGGAAATCTGGACTGAGCAGTCGTTGTCTTGTTACCTGGGTGGACAAATAAACCAGTGGTGTCTATTCAAGCCCTGTTTGCCATCTTTATATCAGTATCACTCATAGAACAGTTCTCAGTACGCCGATTGATTTATTACTGTTTCTGTCCCATTACAATTTGGTTGGTACTTCGTAACCCCCCAAAAAAATTCTTTAAAAAAAAGGGGCCAAGATGTTCCGCTCATATTTTTTTTAGTGTGCCACATAATATTTCGGTGTCAATGGGGCAAAAGTGCTGTCTTGCATGAACTCAGTGAGTGAGTGAGTGAGTGAGTGAGTGAGTGAGTGAGTTAGGTTTAACGCCGCTTTTAACATTATTCCAGTTATATCGCGGCGTGTCAGCTTAATGTGGGAGGAAAGCCCCAAGTGATGCAGGTCTCGGCGTACTGAGAACTGTTCACTGAAGTGGTAACTACGGTGAAACCCACGAGCACGGGTATGGTGCTGACAAACCTAGTAACATCATCGGGGCGAACCGGGATTCGAACCCACAATCATAGGTTTCTGGCGTGCCCAAGGGACGAAACTCTGCACAGGGAGTCACGGCGCCTTAGACGACTGGGCCACCCGTGCCCCCTGAACTCGGTGTAACTCATGATGTATGTCTAAAGATGGAGTAAACATTACACTCATACCATGGCAATATCTGTGTGTGTGGGTAGGTGTCCCTTGACGCCTCACGCAAAATATTCCAGTTTTATGACAGCAGCCTGTATATAATCGAATGTGTACCAGACAATCCAATGGTTGATATTGTGAGCAACAATCCACACCATTGGGGTATGATGGCACACAATTAACCAAGTCACCGAACATGCTCACTGCTCCATCAAGGGAGTGAGTAAATATTGCTTTAAGCTGCATCAGCAGTATTGCAATGATCCATTAAGTCCTCTCTAATACCAGCAACAATTGCAATTCTAATCCGGAATCCCCACAAAATAATATCATCTAGTCAGGGCAAACCAGGGGATGATAGCATGAGCTTTGGTTACTGTGTATGCAGTCAAGCTGACATTGTGACCACCTGATTCTCATTTTAGTTGGTTCTCTGGAGTGTATGGGCAATGGGGGAGGCAGGGGGGGGGGGGGGGGCAGTCTATCCCACAATCAAAATTTTGTATGACTGTTTTTGTTTGTTGGAGGTTTAACGCTGCAATCTGGAATACTCCAGCTGTATGACGGTGGTCTGAAAATAATCAGGTCTGGACCAGACAATCCAGTGATTGATGTCATGAGCACTGATCCAAGCAATTGGGATGTGATGACATGCATCAACCAAGTCAGCGAGGCTGACCACTCGAAGCGCTGCATTATTATTACCTACGTCAATGGAATTGTGTGCACTCGATATTTATTCTCAGCTTATTTTTACACCAAGCAAGGAATACTCTCTGCCCAATTCCAGGCAATTCTTATCATGTATTTGGCCAGCTGTTTCCTGGAGTCTTGTGTTGTTACATAGGATATCAGGAAGTCACCTACCAAACTGCTCCAAGAAATCTCTGCTTTCACCCGTGGCAACACCAAATACTGTCAGGTTATCGCTGTTGCAAATCTCAGGTTGACCTCCGACCTCTAGCAGGAGTCTGAGACAGTCCAGATGGTCCTCTTCAGCAGCATAGTGCAGACCTGTGTTGCCACGGAGATTGTCGCAGACATTGGCATCACCTGAAATACAGCCATTATAACACTGATCATCAGTTCAAAGCATACACACACATCTCTGTGATAAGACGAATCCATACACGACGGCATTGAAATTAACCAAATATTGTTATGAATACATATATTGTGCAAATATATCCAGATACATGTATCTTCATAAATGCCCTTCAAACAACGATTGAGTCGAAAATTCAATTTGGATTAAATAGGCAGGAGATACTCTGGACACAGCGTTAGAAATTGGCACTAGTCCTATAGTCCTTGCCAATCTGCCCAATAGTAAAGGTATCATAAGGACGAGTAGAAATTTGCCAATTTATAAGGGTTTTGCTATATGTTATCATTATAAGGACTAGTGGACCAAACATGTTAGTTTCTACCGCTGGGACAGCGATCTGTTAGGGTACAATAGTACAGAATAGGCCAGGTCACAACATGTAACCACTCAATCCTAACTTTAATTATCCCTTATGATTAGTATAGGGTTCTTAGGAATTATTCTGCATAGAACAACGGGTGGAAAGCTCCAAGTTAAACAGGGCACGCTGACCAAGTCATCTAAGGCGTCACACTTTCGCATCCAGGCCAGCAGGCTTGTGCTAATCTCCATCCCTGCAGTATTCAATGTATTTTTACTGCCTTGGGCCAAGACAAATTGGTATTTTAAAATCCATTAAATCAACGAAAATCAAAGAAAATATATTCCGCTTAACATGCTGTTTCAGGGACTTTTCCTTCTGTTCACGGGCTGGCCCAAGTGTGTCCCATCAGCTCACAACAGCAATACATCGGGTGTTCTTTAACTTCTTTTGAGTAGTATATTTAAGATATAAACGACAAGTGGAAGTTGTTTATCGTGCAAAAAAACACTGCAGGGAGAATATACCATGAGGGTGGAGTTATGAGTGGTGTATTCTCCCTGCAGTGTTTAATTGTCCGTTAAACCATGGCTCCTTTGTATTTGACCGTGGTCTAACTAACTGAACTGTTAGTTAGACAGCACTTGGCAATGACGGAACTTGTTTTTCCCCTATCATTTGTCTTGATGATAGAACAATTTCATGAAAAACGTTTGTCGCCAGCAGGATTCGAACCCGTGAATTCCGCACTGAAGGCTAACGAATGTCGTCTTCTGCCACGGCGACATGGGAGAAAGGGTATGAAATTAACAACTAAATATTTACTTACATCAGTACCAATTGCTTATTGCTTTATGAACTGCGAAATGTGCTTTATGCAAGTTTTATACAGGATGTTACGCTATGCATTCTAGTATTTGTACAGTGCTTGTGATTTTGTAGCTTTTCATTCAACGAAACGAACAGATTTTAGAAATTACCATTATCTTGATCAGGGCTATATTTGCTCATAATAGGCCCATCAACATGGGCAAGCAATATTTAGTTGATTGATAAATGTGCTTGTGTTGGTCCAAAATGAATGGTACACTTGCACCGGGACATGCATTTCATAACCCAAATCAGCAAAATGCGAGGAACACGTGCGAAAGGCTCGGGGAACACATTTCACGTGCTTCACGCGGGGCCGACTCACACAGTGTTCTCACAGTTGAGCATAGAGTTCCTGAATATCTTTCAAAACACCTTTAACAAAACAATGTTTTTTAAACATTTTAGGTGGAATAAATGTTGGACATGGTTTAAGTATGTTAGACCACTCAGACCATGCAGACCCCAGTGTCTAATCCTTGAAATGGCTGATTAAACCACTCTGCGCTGCATGCCTCGTGGTTTAATTAACCATTTCACAATAAGACACTGGGTCCATGTGGTCTAACCTATACATAAACAACGACCACAAGTCGTTTGTTTCTAATCATGTGATATGAGATATCAACGTATTGTACCACCTCTTAAGGATGTTGATAAATTGTACAAGCCTAAAAAACATTTACCTTTCGTCTTATCTATTTTATGGAATATGCAAACAAATTATGAGCTATTCTGTCATTTTCATGACAAGTTTAACATAAGATTCTAAACAATATCACAGCATGTCCACAGCCATCTTGAGGGGGCACGGGTGGCCCAGTCGTCTAAGGTGCCGCGATTCGCTGTGCAGAGTTGCGTCCCCTGGACACGCCAGAAACCTATGATTGTGGGTTCGAATCCCGGTTCACCCCGATTATGTTTCTAGGTTTGTCAGCACCATACCCGTGCTCGTGGGTTTCACCGAAGTGGTAAACGTCTGAGACCTGCATCACTTGGGGCTTTCCTCCCACATTAAGCTGACACGCCGTGATATAACTGGAATAATGTTAAAAGCGGCGTAAAACCCAACTCACTCACTCACAGCCATCTTGGTACTACAGTGTTCCCTCGTTATTGCGCCCTTCACTATAGCGCTAACTCGGTAAAAGCGAGTGGTAAGGCATGGCTACCAAAATTTACTGACATTTTCAATAAACTCAAGTTTTCCAATGACACACTGTTTTCCCCCATCTCAGAAAATCAGCTGATCACCGCGATCACGTAACACCGGAAATACCAGTCAACATATAGGAACTGAAGTACGCAATTTAATCCTATTATTATAATATCTGGTAATAAATAAAAATGTTCCTTGTTTATCTGGACTAACGTTTGCATCAAAATTCTTTGAAGTGGTATCACTGGGTACGTTTTAACTGAATCACCGGTAGATTGGGAGGAAACGTGTGCACAGCTGATTGCTATTTCCGGCTCAGTTTACGAGTAAATACACGCGGTAATCTTAATCTCTGCATATAAAACATGACTTAGAGAGCAGGAAATACATTTTAAATGGTAAATCATCATGATTAGTGATGTTTTAAATCAAATTTCATACTTTTATTGACTAAGTTTGTTACATATCTACCTGCTTATTCACCCGAAGGGATACGATATGGGTTTTTTTTGAAAGCGCATATTAATACTTGATAAATCTTTTTTTACACTACGAATCATAAATAACTTCTATACTAATCTTTTTTTAAACTCTGAAACGTGCAACGTAGATCATGTTAGGTAGGCAGAGCATGTATACTGTTTTGTTGGTCATCTACCATCTACGACTCGACCTTCGTTAAACCGCTGATCATCTATAACGCTCATCAATTATTTGGACCCCGAAGGTAGCGTTGTAGCAAGGGATCACTGCACTACTACAGGACGATCAGTGATGTTTATTGAAACCACAACTGAAAGCAGGGTTAGGTGTTATAATGGTTATCATGGTTATAGAGCTCCGCTGATTGACAGACATTGACAACAGATCTCTCTATTGGCTAGCAGGAAGGAAAGGTGTATTTACAAGCTGTTTATGTAATTAACGCGAGACACTCAACATGCTCAATAGATAGATAGCAGAAGCTGTCACACAAATACCCTTCTATACTGTTTGCCAACTCCTCAACTGAAACAAAGAAAGGACGTATTTAAGCTTTAATTTCCTAATATCAATGCCAATTCTTTTCCTTACATTACAGATTAGCTTTCCTTAAATTTTGCTAATATTAAAACAAAATGGTGTTTTTTAATGAGAGCAAGTATTTGTTAATATATTTAATGTATGTTATTTGTATTCAGGAAATTCACCAATATACACAAACATTTTTTTTATGGCTCCTGTCTCTAGTGAGTGAGTATGGTTTTACGCCACTTTTAGCAATATTCCAGCAATATCACGGCGGGGGACACCAGAAATGGGCTTCACACATTGTACCCATGTCGGGATTCGAACCCGGATCTTCAGGGTGACGAGCAAACGCTTTAACCACTAGGCTACCCGACCGCCCCTCTCCTGTCTCTAAGATTGCTGACCTATAGAGGGAGTTAATGCCGGTTTGAAGTTTAAACAGTATTTCGGTGATATCTGGCATGATAGTTCGAAGTAGGAAAGACGTATTAAGTGATGCAGGTCTCAGACGTCAACTACTTTGGTGAAACCCACGAGCACAGAAATGGTGCTCACAAACCAAGAATCACAGCGAATCTGGGATTTGAACCCCATGATCAGAGGATTCTGGAATGCCTAAGGGATGCAACTCTGCACAGTGAAAACTGTGGTGCCTTAGATGACTTGGCCCTTCTTATCCAGTCATATTTGAGATTAGTAACCAACCTAACTCACTTGTCTGACATGCTTGCCGTAAAAGGTGACTATGCTTGTCGTAAGAGGCGACTAATGGGATCGGGTGGTCAGGCTCACTGACTTGGTTGATGCATGTCATTGTATCCCAATTGGGTGGATCGATGATCATGATATTAATCACTGGATTGTCTGGTCCAGACTCAATTATTTACAGACCACCGTCATATAGCTGGAATATTGCTGAGTGCGGCCTTTAACAACAAACCAACCAACCAACCACTTGTCTGAAGCTTGAAGTCTTGAAAAATTAAAATTGGTCCAGTGATCTCAGCAAAAATTTATCCATACAAGAACACAAATCTTTGTTTTAAGAAAAATGCCTAAAAGACCAGTTCAGGTTTGCAGGCTCAAAAGTGTTTGGCACATAGAATGATTCAATTTTTTCTACAAAAGACTATTAGTTCAGTTGGGCTTGTCAGGAACCAGTTTTTCAATTCTAGTGCTCACAGAGCAGTTCAGTAAAAAATAACTCTAAAAAGAGGACATCCTGTTGAGGGCAAATAAAGAACTTCTTTGAACCTTTGTGTTTATATACATTAATCTGTTGTGTATTTTCTGTGATTTTGCGAGAGACATGATTAGGGTTATATCCCATTAGTCAGACGTCCCATTAGTTAGACGTCCCAATTGTTACGACATTTTTCTTTAGGCAAAGAGGGAATATACCTACAGGTGTAATGGATCAGTCCTAATTAGATTGAAGTACTGTAGGGATAGGGGACTCACAGCTTAGCGAGTATATATGTTACAATTTCGTTTAATTAACCTAAATAACCTTCTCTCAGCACAGGTTCAATAGGCATGAGATTAACTATGTGAACTATGGAGTAGCTTAATTGTCTTACTGTATGATCAGTTGAAGGAGTTGAGTTTAGATTATCTACTTATCAAACAAATGAAAAGGATCTTGGGGTACGTATCATTATCAGTATCGATATTGCTGGTTTAAGGAAAGTAGAGATGTGTCGTCAAGACGTGCAATGTGAAATGTACGACTGTCAGTGACTTTCTTCGCAATCAGTCGGAACATAAACATACGCCTGAAGATGAAACCAGAGTGAACTTTGTAAGTAATCTTCATAAAAGAGCGCGAGAAGAAACCACACCACACCACGCTGGCGCAAGAGAATCTACAGAGAGACAGAGAACCGCCTGGTACGCCTCAAAGATCAGTTGCCACAGGGTGACAAGTCTGCTATTGAGTATTTAGATGCTTGTGGACACTTGCTTCGTCTGGGATAAATAAACTGTAAAAGTAATTAAATGTAAATGTGCACATTACCAGAAACTGTCACATGGTCACAAAGTGTTGTTACAAACTGTATAAAATTTATCAAATGTAAAGTGTCATTAAATGTTAAGTATAATATTAAAGTATCTGTTTAAAGCTGCTTTGCTTTGTTTGTCAGATCTTATCTGGACTATTCCATTTTAAAGTCTGGGGTAACAAGCATAAGGATTAGTGTGCACTCAACCGTTTAAAGTGTTGTTATAAGCTGTCTAACTATTGGGACGTCTAACTAATGGGGGGACACCCATGATTATATTAATGTTTGAAAGGACATTCTTATGAATGTGCTGTCTCATTAACACATTTTAATAAAATCTCAGGACATTTTGCAATATAATTAGTCAATGTTCCAGGAAATGAATCGATCTAAAACCCTGAGTTTCAGCCTGATGCTGTTTGTAAAGTTAGTTACACATTCCCTGATACACAATAGGTATTAATCTACACATTTAATTAACAACAGAAAACTTGGTAACAATGTAATGTCGCAGACAACTGACCTTGATAAGGCATTGACTGATTAGTGTTTATTTCATTCAGAGCCCAGGCATGGGGAACAGTTGAAGCTGTGGACATGGCTAATTATGCTAATCTACAGATTAAGAGATTATCTATAAACCTCAAGATCGTGGTCGACGTTTAACAGCTGTTGAGTGTTTGGAATTATTAGCTTCATAAAAATCTATATACATTAACATGGTAAATAAAGCATATATATACTGTTTAGTGGACAGATATGAGCTTGCATAAATTATCCTGGTGATACTCATTTGGAGAACTCATAAATGTCCTTTCAGATACTTATCAAAAATATTAAATTACTTCTGCCAATTGTACTTATAAGCACTGTGTGACTTTGCCACTAGAGTGAAGGTGAAGTCTAGTAAAACATAAGCTCAGCAAATACAATCCATTTGAGAACATAAAATGTATTATAATGATGCTAACAGACAAGTTTGTGCATGAGGTTTTTGCCTGGTGTGAGAGGGTAACACCAAAACAGTTATTATTTTTTCTGTAGATTCTTTTCTCAAAAAGTGATGATACTTTCAAGGACAAAACATCTTAAAGACTTTAATATTTTCTCTTCGCAGATTTTAACATAAATAATCTGAACATCAATGATCAGATAGTTCTGATGATATATCAGGATAGCTATTTTCAGGTCGTTGACATGACCTCCTGCTTATCTCCTCTATGCCTATTTTAATTAAAAAATTGTAGTTTTTTCCAAAAACACTGTCATGTAGAAATGTTGCATAAACCAGAATTGGAATTTGACTTACACCATCCAATATTGAATTATTATGGTCCTATCATTTGACAAGCCATTTAGGTGTCATATAATTTTTAACTAATCTCAATACTTGTTTGAAAGATCTGCCTGTCACTTTTTAGATATTGTAAAAATATTTTTCACAAATCCTGAAACAAAAATGTGGATAGTAACCTCTTACATGTATCTCCAAATTTACAGCGACATTGACATTTTGTACTCTCCGGCTCATTCCTGCAAATACGTTACCCGAAGTGACAGAACAGCATGTTTCAAACAAAACAAACTCCAGAGGTTGGTGTGTATTATTCACAAGAACGAATGATAATACACACAGCGCAGTAATGAATTTAGTGTTTGAGTTTTTATTTGAAAAAGAGATATTAATTATATTTTCAGATATTTCGTGATACTTTGGTATAAAAATATGCAAGACAAGTACTTAATTGATCTGGTCAAAAAACAAAATGAAATAGCTGCTATTTTTACTTGCTCCACTCTTTTTAAAAACAAATTAAGATTAGTCATTTCAATAACCAAGCAAACAATATTGAGGCAACTTCTACACAAAGCTGCTTTGAAACTGATTAAACATGTGAAAAAGGAACCATATGATGAAGAATTCACTACTGTGTATGGTATATAAAGTAGACAGTCCAGTTGTTTCCCTTCTCCCGGGTTAGAAAAGGTACTCAGCACTCTACTGCTTGTCACAAGAGGTGACTTATTTTTGTTTGAGTTGTCACATTGTTTACTTGGTTGATTATGTGATACTATTCAAATGTACAGTGTATAAAAGGCCACAAACCTGAAGTGCATACAATATAGTGCAAAATCATTTCACAGATTCACACATTTCGTATGAGACATTTCTTCCTTGGAAGGCATACTTGAAAGATAACATGACAGATTTTAAATCTTTATAATTTGAGGTTGCCGTAAGGTAAATATATTGATGGACTGAAGGTTGAGTTAAATATTTTTTTATTTGGAATGTATTGCTTTTGAGTGTCTCCTAAAGATGAGCATATAAAGGTGAAAGGATACAGATCTTCGAGATAGTTTAGGTTACACCATATGCACATAATATTGCAGATTTTGGTATTTTGTGGTGTCTACATGGTCTATGGTACAGTGTGGTGCTAATGATAATAATAATAATAATAATAATTTATTTCGATGCTGCCGTCTGTCAGCTGAAGTACATGTCTGGCATGAAACAACAAACAAAACTTGTCACTGGGTTGTTAAATATATGCTCACAATCAAACATGAATTTGCTTTAAATATCGTGAATTGCAATCACACTTTATGTCATGGAATATAACGACAGTGCTAAACAATCAACACAGGATGGGAAAAAAAAGAATTAACAGTGCCACAAAAAAAATGGTACCTGTGAGAAAATGACAAGTGTATTGGGTAGAAAACACATGACACCTATTTGCACAGTGTTATCAATCGAAAGAGAGTATATGTTTCACCTAGCTACGCACAAAACAATTCATGTTTACATACCGATATTTACCACACTCAAAGCAGCAGCGAACTAACGCAGTTCTCATTCAAACTTTTGAGACAGGTTATGATAAACATGGATTGGGAAACAAGATTAACTTCACACCCCAACATTTAGAAAACAATTATAATAAAACAATTTAAACATCTCTTGATTCGAAAGATGTAACATGACAGTGGTTAACTTCACCTTTGTTTTTCAACAGCAATGAAAGTATTTTAGTTTCACCGTTGTGTGCAGCTTCGTGCACAGGGCTCCAATCGTAAAGGCCTATTAAATTCGGATCATATCCTTGTCCGAGAGCTTTTCTGACGTCATTCACACTTCCATAGCGAACTGCTTCGTGCAGTTTTGTATCCATTGGTTTATGACATCTAATAACGGCTGTGAAATGTTCCTGTAAAGTTCACAAAGTTATGAATCCTCAGGTCTCAGATTTCGTTTCTACAGACGCCATTAGCAGGTGGCTGATGCTATTTTCGATACAACTGGTTTCTACAAATGACTACCCATATAAGACTTCAAGTGACTTAACCAGCAGTTTACAGGTTGTTTTACGTTACAAAAATCTGTACATATACGTGTCATTATCAAAATTGGTCCTGTTTATGGTCAGTTGAGTATTTGTAAGAAAATGACAGAAATCAAAAATATGTTTGATTACTAAATACACTCCTTTACATAAGTAAACAAGATTTAATCACCTTTCACGTAATATAATCATATTTTTTTTTTAAATTAAATAATTCCAAATACAGAAAATTGGCTGGTCAGTGGACTGTGACATCACTTTGAGGTTGCATCTTTTCCTGTTAAATGAAACGTTTTGACCAATTTCATTATTCATATGGTTCTTTTATGATCTTTTCGTTACACCTCGTGAATAACCTAGTATTGCACTCTATATAAGGCATACACATACACAATTATATGCTTGTGAAAACAACAACACTGTCAGTGGTGTAACAAATCATAAACAGCTGGGGGAAAAGTAATCCCCCTTTGAAAATTGAAAAGAAACTGAATTGTCCCTTCCCCTGTTCACCTTTTATGGAATGTAAAAGTCAATGTGACTTAAATGTGTGTTTCATGTATCCAGAAAACGATATTTTGTAAGATCATTTAAAACCATAAAACGTATCTTAAATTAGTGTTACACCAATGACAATTTATCGTCAATTTGTTTTACATTTACATCGATTCCATTGTTATGATAATTTAGTAATGGGTCTTGTGGCAATATATCATTCCAGGTTTATGAGAAAATGTATTACTTTATTTGAAGAACTACCTGCAGCCATGTCTATGTCAAATGCGGAGAAATGTGGGGTAGCGACAAGTGTCATTGGACCCGTGAAGATCCAGGGTAGAATAGTTTTCAGCAACCCAAACATGCTGTAAAAGGCGACTATACTTGTCGTAAGAGGCGACTTACGGGATCGGGTGGTCAGGCTCGCTGACTTGGTTGATGCATGTCATTGATCCCAATTGCGTGATGTCAATCACTGGATTGTTTGGTCCAGACTCGATTATTTACAGAGCGCTGCCATATAGCTGGAATATTGCTGAGTGCGACGTTAAACAACAAACCAAATCAACAAGTGTCATTGGTGCAACACAAACATAAAAAGAACCTTTTTAAAAAGGTTTTGAGACTTTAGTTTAGCATTTATGTAAAGAAATCCCATTTTCATTGCATAAAAATGACACTAAAATAACACATATGCGATTGTAATTAAGGCGATTGTGTGTAATAAGAAGTGAAAAGTGGCATATATTTCTTGATATTTGACTAACGGTTCTGGTCAATGGAGGGGCGGTCGGGTAGCCTAGTGGTTAAAGCGTTCGCTTGTCACGCAGAAGACCCGGGTTCGATTCCCGACATGGGTACAATATGTGAAGCCCATTTCTGGTGTCCCCCGCCGTGATATTGCTGGAATATTGGTAAAGGCGGCGTAAAACCATATTCACCCACTCTGGTCAATGGAGTAACATTGATATCATTGGTGTAACTCATACGAAATTACAAATTCTAATTTTCAATATTGTCCTTTTTAGACATAACTATACTGAGCATGACCTATTAAAGCATTATAATCTGAAAAATGAATTTAAACAATACGGACTACAAAACTTTGATCTTTGAAATAAAGCATCAAGCAGAAACATACATCTTCTCAAAACAAAATTTAGTTTCACAAATATATTGCTGTAGTAGACAAGACAACCAAAAACTGCTTACTTCGGTGAACCCAAGAGCATTGCTGACAAATCTAGAAACATAATCGGGGCGACCAGGGATTCGAAATAATGATCATAGGTTTCTGGCGTGCCAAAGGGACGCAACTCTGCACAGCGAATTGTTCGTATTCACCCTGATCATGTTTCTACGTTTGTCAGCACCATGCACATGCTTGTGGGTTTCGTCGACGTGGTAACGTCCGATATCTGCATCACTGTCCTCCCACATCCCACATGATATAACTTAAAATATGTCCAAAACACTCACTCAGTCCTAAAAAACATTAGCATGCTGCGTCTTTACACTGAACAATGAGTGTTTGTTTGTTTGTTGTTAACGTCGCACTCAGCAGAATCGCAGCAAAATGACGGTTTGTAAATTATCGAGACTGGAGTGAGTGAGTGGGTATGTTTTTACGCCGCTTTTAGCAATATTTCAGCAATGTCACGGCGGGGGACATTAGACATGAGCTTCGTGTGCCACTCGACCATTCGCCCGTTAGTAACTTACGACAAGCACGTGTTGCTGTAGATCAATTCTTAACCGTGTATTCACGGGTAGATCAATCCGTGAGTGAGTGAGTTGGATAAACGTCGCTTTAAACAAGAACTCCAGGTACTTCTAATATGCCGCATGTCCACGTTTACCACACTGGTGAGACAAGAAAGTAGGGGTATATCTATAAAGAAAAGAAAAGAATTATATCCATGGCTAATAATGGATTCGAACCGTTGACATGCGGGTTCTGGCGCGGCTGTGGGGCGCAACTCTACGGCGCTTTAGACAACTGAGCATCCTGGGTCTTCCTTAAGATTGAATCAATGCCAACACCAAGGGTCATAAGTGGGACGATGCTTGGGTTCGAACAAAATAAAAACCCAGCGAACCTTGACAGCGAAGAGAAACAATTCTACATTAGACTACGGGCATCTATCCGTGGTGTTGCGGATGGAGTGGCTGTCCGGAGAGCGGAAGGTCGGGGTTCGATCCCATGGCGGTATCAAACACATCACAAAAAAACCCATTAAAATATGGTACTTGTTGTTACCCTGTCTGCAGTTCGGCATTGAGGGGATAAAACAAGGACAGGTCGGTTTGGAGTCCGTAAACAGTGTCTGAGTTTGGTATCCATGTTAAACTGCAGCATGGTATGTCAGTGGGCTGGCCGGAAATGCTGGCATACGTCCGGACAAATACAAGCAACCACGCACGCACGTCGCAAGTACTCGCTACATAACTGAAATAATCTTGAACGCCAGGTTAAACTCCATTTCACGTCACCTCACATCTCTTCCGTTGATTTTTTAATATTGCATTTTCGGGGAATGATAGTACTGTTCAATTAAATACTTAGTCATTAGTATTATCAATGTCTTCACATCACATTACAATAAGGTGTGAATAGCAATGAGTATATTTACACCTCTTCCGAAAATAGTTTCAGTACAATTTCGCAGTAATTAATAATCAAAGACGTATGGCATTTCAATGTTATTTTTTAACGTCGGCAAAGTTATTCGTCAAGATCTCGTGTAACGGGTATATATTTGTATTCCTGAAATATTGATAGCGCAGTGCCAACAGACTACCAGTTAGTAGGAAAATGAAAGAACATCTGTTGCAAGGAAAATTATACATTAAACACTTCCGGAATCAATTGAAAGGTTATTTCCTGTTGACCGGTGCGCACTGACCTGTGGGAATTAATGGCGGTGTAGATGTGAAACTAGGCACTACATCGAGGAGCCAGTAGGCCCATATCTTGTTTATTTTCTGCTCTTTCTTACATCTTTTTCATCGAGAGTCAGGGGGTGAAATCATTCAACACTAATGTTCAAGTACCTTGTAATGGGTTTGCGCGGATTCTTCGTATTGGCAGCTAAAATATGGAGTTTTGTGTGTTACTGTTTCCGACGACAGGTTCGCGCAGTGAGTGTTTCTACATTTTTTCGATTTTATCCTTTAAAAACCAGTGTAAGGCCTTACTGCAGTAAGGTGTCGGAAGGTATATTGATGGGAGAACATGTCCTTGCTTCTATGCTAACACAATTCCACCAGTTGACAAATATTGTGCAACAAGCATGTGTTGACACAGTTTGAAACCGATGGCATAATTTTGAAAACTACACATGACCTCTTTTGACATACGTTTGTCGAACACTTGTTGTCTCATCTCGCCCGTGGCGGAAGAATTTGAATATGTTTTACGGTTAGGCGTCCATGTATCACTATATACTATTGTTTCTTCAGATTAGACGACAGATTTATGGTTGAACGGGAAATATAATCGTATGGCGTGATATCATTGTAAATGGTGTTGAACACAGATTTTACGCTGTGTAATCTGATAATCTTATATTATCACAAGGCTGTCATGTTATTTTATAAGAGTAACCTGCAGTATTTGACTTGGACTAGTATTGCACAAATGATGTGCTTTCTGTTTGTTTTAAGGTTAGAAATAATCAAACCCCAGATCTAATTATAACTATAATAATTATATGTAACCATTGCCGAACATACTGTATGTGAAGGGAAAAAAAACCTATATGCATTGTTGATCAGGAGAAACGCAGTGTTCAAAATGAGGAATGTTATGGGTCTGTTTCAACCTGGATGTTAAAAAAACCCAAGTTTATGTGGTTTATGATAATAAACCTCAAGCATCCCTCTAATATCCAACACATCACCAACCATGCCAACAGGAGACCTCCCCATCATCTTGTCATCCCCACTTGTGACCACTAAATAGCTGTTTTGTTTATTATGCAGACAAGTATCACAACAAAATCTCATTCAAAGCTTCAAATTCCATTATACTTCTGTTTACATAGACAGCTTTAAGTGTGATTGTAGGTCAAGTGACATTGATCACAAGCGGCGATAGTTGTAAACATCAGCTGACAACTGCTAAAGTGACATCTTTTTGGTGTCTCTCATAGGTTATGTACTTGTTTTAAAGTATGACGACATTCAAATGTTCTTTCCTGATTATTATAAAAGAGACATTTTTTGTGATGATCAGTGGGGGCATTTTGAATTGTTTTTCACATTGCAAGCATTTGCCCGAACCATCAACAGCAAATGACAGTATATTTGTTGATAAAAGTTAATTCCCATTGACAAAGCATGATAATTCTGTTTGAGTCAGTTGTTTTTAATTTAGATGAATCAACAGGAATAAATCTGGAGTTTTGACTCAGTAATCTGTGACAATGCTGCAGATATGTTTTCTTACAATCATAGTCCAAACTTGGAAAACCAGTAATAGCGTCACTATAACTGAAAGTGTTTGACAAAGGGTGTTAATGTAATCACACAGCCGGGTACAACTGCACATGTGCCGATACTCATATCTATACAGACAAGTACGATTGCAGACATATCAGTGTTGTACATGTTAAAAGGGGAAGGTGTGATAACTTCTTAACCTTGTTTGACCCATAACAACTGAATCACAGCTTGCAGTAACACAACCATTCAATGCTTTTGGGCAAGCTAAGAGTGAGCATTCCAAACTCTGGTAATATTACCTTGACTTTGTGTTCAAGTAGGACATTTGTGCAGTGATATGAGCAGATGACTCATGGTTGAAGCCATATATACGTTGTTGTGTCACTTAGCATTACCGACCTGTGAAGATCCGGGGTAGAACAGGTCTTCAGCAACCCATGCTTGTCGTAAGAGGCGACTAACAGGATCGGGTGGTCAGGCTCGCTGACTTGGTTGATGCATGTCATCGATCCCAATTGCGTGGATTAAAGCTCATTATGTCAATCACTGGATTGTCTGGTCCAGACTAGATTATTTATAGACCACCGTCATATAGCTAGAATATTGCTGAGTGCGGCGTTAAACAACAAACCAACCAACCAACTTAGCATTACCAGGTAGGAATGATTTCTGCCTGAAACCCCTGTTTCTAATTTTGCCTATGTGAGGGCGGGGGCACGGATGGCCCAGTCATCTAAGGCCCCGCGATTCGCTGTGTAGAGTTGCGTCCCTTGGGCACCCCAGAAACCTATGATTGTGGGTTAAAATCCCGGTTCGCCCCGATTATGTTTCTAGGTTTGTCAGCACCATACCCGCGCTCGTGGGTTTCACCGAAGTGGTAAACATCTGAGACCTGCATCACTTGGGGCTTTCCTCCCACATTAAGCTGACACGCCGTGATATAACTGGAATACTGTTAAAAGTGGCGTTCAACCAAACTTACTCAGTCAGTGTGTGAGGGCAACTTCTAGCTGTGGTTATTACTTTTAAACAGTTTGAGGCAGGGGTTTGACCCTAGGATTTGCTGGACATCAGTTCTGATCCAAGAGCTGTCCTTATAATGATTTTTTATCTGTCAGCAACACACATCAGTTCCCAGGTATCACCAAAGTGTTGAAGTCTGTGACATGCGGACCACATCCGTGATGTAGTGGATAGAGCGGCTGCCTAGAGGGCATATAAAATCACTTCCCATGGATAGACACCATTGGTCAAATGGTTAGATTTTGGTCGAAAGCAGCTGGTCCCTCTATATTTTACCACTCTGGGATTGACAAAATATTGGCCATGTCTATACTCTGCTTCCTGAAAATCTCTGAAATCTGCCTATTTTGACACATTTTTGCCGTTTCTCTGTAGTTAGTGTAATTAGTTCCAAACATGTGGTAGCTGAAACACTCAAAACCCAATTCTCATTCATTGTTCATACGAACACATATGGTAACATTGATAACGGCTTGTAAAGGTTTTCCTCATTTAAGGATTGACTGTGTATTTTTTCGGTTCATTTAGGTATGAATCGAAAAACCAATGTGCAAACTGTATGAATCCGCGTAGCGGATTCTTACAAAAGTTTCAAAGGGTAGTTTGGACAATGCATATGCATGAAAGTCGCTAAATGTCCTGTGCATGACGATACAGGTGAGCAGAAAGGGAATTCCCTCGGCTGTAATCTTGGGATTCCCCGACATTCCGAAGTAATAAAAGTAGTGAGCCTCGGTGGGCGTGTCTTAATTTTTTACATTCATTGGGAAATGAATGCAATAACACGTGACAAATTCAGCTAATCAGAATACAGGAATTTCAATGAACACAACGAAAATTTAATTATTCCCTAATGTAAGCATATCTGGTGGCCCGAACAGGGCTGTTATCATCCCTGTGTTGTTGTATGTGTTACAACATTGCAGACTCATTGCCACCCTGAAATCTTTGCGATATCTGTGTCACTCGCTGTTAAGCATGTTAAGCACTCAGATCAAAACCTACTTGAAAGACTCTTTACCTACTTCTCCCCAATGAGGGATTGTGGGGTGGTATTTGATTTAATAAAATTGTTCCAGAAAATACTGGAGGGAAATTAAGTTATCCTATGATTTACCCACAAATATGGCGTTGGTTGAATGAACAAGGATGACCTCGCATAAAAAGTGTTGTAAAAATAAAACTGTTCCGACTCCCCAGTAAATAGAGAACAAAAAATATGTATGAAGCAGCGACCTTAAAATTATGTACCCCCCCAAAAAACCAACAAAAAACAAACAAAACAACCAAAAAAACTAAGGAAAAAAAATGTAAGCACGACTAGTTCATGGGGTTAAACAAGTTAAAAAGCCAACATGTTAAATAGTTAAAAGATTTTGGGACCTAGATTCAGATACTATAGGACCCCATTAAAAAACTGGAAAACACACCTTTTGTACATGTTGTATGCCTAAACTATTGTTAAAAACTGGAGTCTCTTCGTGACTGGCAGCTTTTGGCAAAGAATGATAACTCTCTTTCTGTGTGATTTGCCTGCTGTAAATGATGGCCTGTGGATGGTAAATATTGGCACATGGGCTGCAGTTTCACTTTGCTGTCTTGATTATCTCATTGAAAGCAGGCTGTGATGCCTCGGCGATGTAACTTACTGCATCATGATCCTACTCTGCCAGGTTAAACTTCATCTGAAGCAGGTGATTTGTGAAGCTGTCAGTATGTCAAGGTTAATGAAGTAAACATATTGGAGGCTAACAACAAACATGCATTGGTAGGGGCTGCCGCTAGTTGTGGAATCGGTTAAGACTTCAAACTCCATTGCTGATGATTATCTTGAGAAATCATTTTCAGATTAAATACTGATGGATTATGAATGACGGAGGAACATTTGCCATTTAGAGTTTTTTGGGGGTATCTTTTATGTAAATAGATAGAACTCTTTAGATAATATTTTTTTTACTGTACGAGTAACACATGTACAAGAAACATTGCAACAATTACATGACATGAAACCATATCCCTTTTTATACATGTCATGCTCAATTTTCCATGTGATTAATTAAAATGAAATAATGAAAATGTAAAGTGATCAGTCACAGATTTCATGACAAGGTCCTTGGTTGGAAGCTATAAGTATGATAAGCAATCAGTCATCTATAAGATTAATTAATGGGAAGTAGTGGGAACAGCAACAGTTGCTGCAGATATATCTGGGAAGGAGGGCTCTCCATCACTCTCTGGATGATAGGACGGATGTAATACTGATATGATATACAACCTTTGCCAAACGCTTTGAGGCCACTTGCCCAAATTCTCAATATCATTGTCAGTTAATTTAGTGATCTTATGGTCTAATATTTCTGAGCTTATAAGACCAAACACAATTTTACAAGATTCAAGCTTTAGACTAAACTAGTTGCTAAAGTCACAGACTGGATACATCTTCATAGAAAGGCTTGTATGGATGTGCCAGACCAGATAATGTGGTTAGAACTAAACTAAATTTACAAGCCCTAGTGAATATAAAATGCCCTTGTAATGTTAAAACAATGGGGGAAATTTGAAAATTTTATACTAGTCTGCAGGAATTTATTTTTGTCTCTTGTTCATGTGTAAGGATGAGATACAATTTCATATCTTGATAATAAGGATTTAAGATGAAACATGTCACTTAA